TCCTTTGTAAATCTTTGACCTCTCCAAGGGGCATGAGTCACTCTTTCCTCTGGGGTCCATCCCTCCACAGAGCACCCTGCTCATGGTGTTTTAGCAACATTCTGAGCAATATCTAGGCAGGGGCCGTGTGTTTCTGATTACTGCTGAATCGCCAGTGGCTAACCAGTGCCTGACACACAGTAGGTACTCAAAACATTGGTTACATGAGTGACTAAATGAAAGAGAACGCTTTCTATCATAACAGATTCTGAAGCTTACTCTCAGTGGTAAAACCTGTGTAGACCCTACACTCCAAACTGAAATCTTACTCTTTTTGACTCCTCTTTCTTAAATTCAGTGCATTGAGGATCTTTTTGTGCTTGATCAGGATAAAAGCTGCAATGCTCCAACTCCCTCCCCCCCCCCAGCAGGGCCTTTGCACATGCCATTCCCTCTGCCTAGAACACTTTTTCTCTTGCTTCTTTGCTTCCTTGTCCTCAGGTTGCAGCTTCAATATTGCCTCCTCAAAGAAGCAAACTACTCCATCTGAAATGGGTCTTTCTGCAGTTCCCCGCGCCACACAGCCCCTTGTTTGTCTCCTTCTTAGCAGTTGTAATATTAGGATTACTGTAGTAAATGTGCCTGTTTTTGTGTTTGTGACCTGTCTCCGTCTTGGAGCATAAGCTCCCAGGGGCTGGGAAATTTACCTGTTTTGTTCACCACAGTACCCCTAGTACATAGAACAGGCCATGGTACACAGTAGGTGCTCAACAAGTAGCTGAGGAAGAACGGGGAATGAATGAACGGGGCTCAGAATTGCTGTGTCCAGTCATACAGGAGCGGGTCCTGAGGCAGCCCCTGAGAGGTCTTGGTTTCCCTACCAGCACCGTCACTGTCCCCAGGAACTTCCCCCCGCCCTGGGCAGCACCCTCAGCTCCCAGGGTCTGAGTGATCGTGACTGCCGTCATCAGATTAGTAACAAGGAACTTTCAGAGAGGGACGGCAGGTTGCCCGGGGTCACGCAGCGAGTTCTTACCTAAGCGGAGCTTTCAGGCTGGGGAAGAACCAGCCCAGTGGCCCTGGATCAGAAAGGAGGCTCTGCCACTAACTCGTGGTGGGACCTTGGGCACTTCTCTTCCTTTCTCTGAGCCTCAGTTTTCCTCATCTGTGGAATGGGCGCAGTGGCCTCCCTGGCTGAGGGAGCGTGAGGCAGGTGCTAGGCACACTGCAGGTATGTGGATGGTGTTAGTTGCCAGTGGTGAGGCGGGGTTGCGGGTGTCTGAGGACAGGTGTGTCACGATCCTGGGGTTATAGTTTAGTCAGTGGGAGCTGAACATGAGGGGAAGGGCCTGACCCTTCCCAGACTGTGCAACCTCTGAGCCCATGGAACCTCTCAGTCTCTCCCTCTCAGTAGAGCCATGGACCTGTCCATGCAGCCTGTCCTAGCCTGAACAACCTTTCCCTACTAGAACTTCTCCCAACCTGTGCAACCTCTCCTAGCTGAGGAGCACGTCCCACTCCCAGCATCCGCTCCCTGCCTGTGCAATCTCTATCTGCCCTGCAACCTCCACCACGCTGGTCAACCTCGCCCAGACGGTGCAGCCTCTCTCAGCTTCTGCAGTCACACCTCGCTTTAGCTCCATTTCCCCCAGACCAGGGCTGGCTGGTTTGTAAGGTAGAGAAAGAAAGGATGCTTTAAACTACCGCTGCTCGAGGTCAAGAGGTGGGGGGTGGGGCAGAGCTGACAACCTGCCCTTCGTCCCCTCTTTGCCCGGCAGGCCCCCACCAGCCTGCCCTGGCTCTGAAAGTAGACTGAGTGTTACTGATTCGTACTGGAGAAAGTTTGCAGGTCCCATCCCAGTCTACCTCATCAAGCCCTCTTGGCAGATGAGGAGACAGAGGCCCAGAGAGGCCCAGAGCCTTGCCTGTGGTCACATGGCAAGGAGGGGCCAGGACCTGAGCAGGGAGCCAGGCTGGTACACTTGCCCCACCTCCCCGGGGACAATTTGGGTGGCCAGATTCTCCCCAGGGGCTGTAGTTCCAGCTGGCTGGGTCCCTGCTGCAGGTGCCCTGACCATTCGGGGGCCCTCCATGGGGCCCCTGCCCACACCCTGGGGAATATTCTCAGGTCGTTTCAGAAGTTCCAAGTTTACTCAGAGCTCTCATTTGAGCTGTCGTAAAAAGTCCCTTTGGCCAGGCGCCAGGGTGAAGAGTGGGGGCGGCGGCACCTGTGAGCTGTGGGGTGCGGGTGGGGCTCCACCCAGCTCCCCCTCCCCCACCCCTCAGGTTTGGGGGGCACTGAGGGCAAGCATGTGGGGAAGGGGCTATGGTGGGGGGAAGACCCTCCTCCTTGAGGAAGTGTTTGTGCCCTCTCTTCACAGGGTCCTTCCCTCTGCTTGTAAATGACTCCCTGGGTGACCCTAGAAAACCCCTACCCCTCTCTGCGCCTCGGTTTCCCCCTCTGTGAAAGGGGGAGTAGAATTCTCATGAGAGCTATCATTTATTGAGGGCTTGGTCCACGCCAGAAGCCGTGCCGGTGTTCTAACTAATAACAAGAAGATTATTACCAGCAATATTTAAAGTAAAACACAACAGCTTCTATTTCTTGCGAGCCACCACTAAGCTCTTTTCCCCTTGTCGTCGCTCGGGCTCTGCCTGTCTGTGCCCCACGGAATCCGCAGGACCCAGGACAGTGCTTGATGCAATAAATACAGGTTGGATAAAACTTCACAACACACCCGAGACGGGCATCCTTATTTCCACATGACAGATGAGGAAACTGAAGTTCAGAGAGGTTAAGTGGCTCCCTCGAGGTCACTCAGGTACTAACTGGTGGAGCTGGGACTTGAACCCAGGTCTGGTTGATTCCAAAGCCCCTAATTACAGTGGGTAGTGTGTTGGTAAGCCAGGGCCCGCGTCCCCCAGCTGACCACGGAGACCACCCAGCTGTGTGGAGAAGGGACGAGCCATCATTCCTGCCTGCTGAGTTCCCGCCTGCTGGGATTCTGGAGGCACCGGCTCCCCTCCCTGGCAATGGAAGAAAGGGAGGCCCTTCCTGCCTGTCATTCATCTATTTATCCGGCACTGGGGCGGTCCTGATGCTGCAGAGAAGTTGGTGCCTCCCCAAGCTTCTGGTGGCCTGCTCTCCCCTTCCCATCTTCTTTTGAACTGGCCTCCTCCCCCAAGACGCCCCCACCCACTGCCCACAAGCCCCTTAGGGGCTCCGGCCCCCTTCTCTTCCTTGCTGGGCAGGTGGGAGCCCACAGAGCCCAGGGCTCAGCCATGTCTTGTTCGCCCCACCTCTCCTGGCCCCGGATCTTGCCCACCTCCTGACATAGGGGCTCTAAGTCTCCTCCACTGCGGGGCTGTAAGGATCCAGACACCCTGGCAGGTGCCAGGTGGGCGGGACCAGGGCTTCTGCTGTACCCACCACAGGGAACAGGTGATGAGGGCCGCCCTTCTGGGTGATCCAACGTCCCCTCTCAGAAGGTGCCCCACAACTAGAAGTCTGGCTTTTACGTTATCCTGTCCAGCAGGCTGTGGCCTTGCCACCAAACAGACTGGGGGTCCAACCTCAGCTCGGCATTTTACAGTCACAGTTGGTCTGGGGCGAGGTCCTCCCCCCTAAGCCTCAGTCTCCTCGTCTGTGCAATGGGCTGAATGGGGCCACCAGCCTCATCTGGTGTTGGGGGATCATGGAGACCCTCAAGTGCCTGCAGCATGCTGAAGGCTGGTGCCAGGAGGACCAGAGCCCAGGGGACTGAGGGGGCAGGGCTGCAGGTGCCCGAGCATGTCCCTGGACCTTCTGCCGCTCTTGGAGACTGGCCCTGCTCCTCCACGGGCTCAAGCTTCCTCATGACACCAACTCCCTTCCTGGGCAGGCCTCCGGCCAGCAGTTTTCACATTTTCATGCCCTCCAACCCTCACAGCCAGCCCCACAAGGATGAGCTGTCTTCTTCCCCATTTTACAGATGAGAAAACCAAGGCTCCACGAGGCGAGAAGAAGCACAGAGACTTGCTCAAGCTCGCCCAGCTAAGAGGTTTCGTGGCTGGGTTTTGAACTCATCAGGTTTTCCCCACTCCGCCATGTGCTTCTAAAACCCCCGAGCTTCCCCTCAGGGGAATGCAGATGTCTGCCCAGGAGCAGCCCCTGACTTGTAACGCCCGCCTGCCTGGGTCCTCTGCTCCCGCTGAACAGCAGCTTGCCTGTTCCTTCCACAAGTTCCCCCTCCAGGCATTCACTCACCTGGCTCCTCGGCCAGGAATGTGTCTGCCTGTTCCTTCCTGTCCCCTCTTTTTCACACATCAAAATTCAACCCATCCTTCAAGGCTCAGCCTCCCCCCATCTCATGCGCTCCCTCTCCTCCACCGACACACAGAACCGGCTTGCCTCTCGCCATGGGCCCGTCCCCTGTGCTTTCACGAGCAAGATGAGGAGATGGTGTGTGGAGGGCAGGACCAGCCCCTGAGTCACCAGCCCGCCCTGCCACGTACTGGCTGAGTCACCCTGGGAAAATCTCTCTACCTCTCTGAGCCTGAGTTCCTTATCTGTGAAGTGGGCACACCAGCCCCTGTTTTGAAGGATTGGATGAAATAAAGGAGAAAAAACACAGAACCTGGCACAAAGTTGATGCCCTCCCCCGCAAATGGGACCCCTAGAAGCATCACACGGTCTCACCCATGCCCGTCCCTACCTGATCGGCTGCCCAGAACCCCGGGGACTGTCGTGTCTTGTTCGGTCTGGAACCAGCTTTCCCTCCCAGCTCGCCGACTCTTGGAGGCTGGTTTCCACCGACAGCTCATGGGGGCAGCTCAGTCATGCCCCTGCCTCCATGCCCCCAGGCCTTCTGCAGACCCACAGAAAAGCAGAGACTCCAGCCCCGACTCTGCTGGTCTCACTTCCTCCCCTGCGAGGAGGGCGCAGGACCCCTCTGCGTCCCCCCACCTCGGGCACGGAATGAGCCCTCCTGGGTGGAGAAGGCGCCCTGGCCCCTGCAGAGAACGGTGCCTGGAGTCGAGTTACCTGCTGTTCCAGCTGCTCCCTCAGAAATCCATTCCTTGTGCTCGGGGCAAACGACTGGGCTCCCAGGGGTGCAGCTGGGCTCAGCGTGGGGTGGGAGACGGAGTCTGACAACAGGAGAGGTCTGGGTGGGAATCTACCACCTGCCCTGAGTCACCAACCAGACAAGCATACCACCTGTCACCTGGACAGTCGGCAGTTGGGCTCCGGGCTGGCGGGCTTCACAGAGGGAGCCAGTGGGACGCAGACAACGGTCAGTCACCTCCCAGAGAGGTCACACACGGACAGAAGACAGAGCCTATGGGGCGGGCCCAATCAGCTGCACCAGCAATGGACAGACGGCAGACGGGGGCCAGTCAAGCAGACAGACAGACGACAGGTAGGTGGCCAGCCAGGCAGACACCCAGACAGACAGACAGACAGGCAGGCAGGCAGACAGCCGCGTGGCTGTCAGTCACAGTCAGGGAGAAGCAGGCAGACAGTCAGACCCCGAGCCTGTCGGTCACTGGGCAGAGAGACGCCGGCGGGTCTGTGAGAGGTGGCGGCTGCCATCCCTGCCCCAGCCGCGTGTGCAGGGTGGGCAGGAAGAGGAGGATGTGGTGAGGGCTCCAGGCAGCCCCGCCCACAGAGCAGCTGGCTCCTCCCCGGAGCCAGTGAGAAAGAGGTGGGAGGGGGCCCGGCCCCTGGCAGGCCCACCGCTGCCAAAGGTCACCTGCTGGGAAGACATTTGAGGCTACCAGGGTGACATCTGCTTCTTGCAGATGGGTGACATCATCCCCACAGGCCTCACGGTCATGACCCATGAGGCAGGCAGGGTGGCCCTGAGCCGCTGCTTCTCACAGACATGGGAACCGAGGCTCAGAGGGGTGCAGAGGTGGCATCACTGGACCCGGGAGGCCCACAGTGGCCGAGTCCAACTCTCAGCTCCCAGAGAAGCCTGAGGGCCCAGGGCCAGAGCCTTGCCCCAGGTCCCCAGAGAGGCAGTGGCAGTGAGCCCACCATAGCAAACTAGCCTGCTTCACTCATTCACGCTGCCTGCCTGGCCCAGGTGGGGTCTCAGCTTGGGACCCCCTCCCAGCCTCCTCTGCCCCCCTTTCCTTTGGATCCAGCTTTCTGCTGCCGTGCTGCAGGGAGCAAGACCCCGTCTCCATGCCCGTGAAAAGAGAGTCCCTCGGGCATGTCCCATCCCCTCTCCGAATGCCTCGCTTTGCCCATCTCTCAAATGGGGACAACCGGCCACGAGGGAGAGGGCAGCCATGAACACACGGGAGCTCAGGAAGAAAATAGAGCAAAGAAATCCTCCAGAGAGTTTTCATCTTGCAGACAAGCCAGGGGCCCAGGAGAGGGTCAAATGTCTCTAGCATATGCTTATGAAGCCAGAGGATAAAATTCAGCAAAGTCACCCCCCGCAGCCTCAAAAGAAGAGCAAGAAGATTGTTGCTGCTGCTACTATTACTGACTATCCTGCAAATTTTAGGCAGCCATAGGATCTCATTTTATCCCACAAATTTTGGGAGGCAGACAAAACTATTTCCAGTTTACAGATGGAGAAACCGAGGCTCCGTGGGGGGAAGAAGTGTCATGGCTGGGATTTGAACCTGATTCCTAAGCCTGCACCAGGCTGTGGAAACAGGCCCAAACCAGGATGAAATGTTATCAGGGCGGATGGGGCTGTTTTGATGACACTGGTCGGCTCAGACAAACATGCCATCTCTCCCCAGCTGACTCATTTTTGGGAAACAATTTGCAGCTAGCCCACATGACTGCTCCAGAGAAAAAGAGAAAGCATCTTATTTATTTTTTTTCTTTTTTTTTTTTCTTTTTCTGGCTGTTTTTGAGGAACTTGGTTCAAATTCCCCTACGGCTGATTTGAAGGATGTTTGCTGGTGGAGAGATTCTCTTCCCCACCATCAAAATACCTCGTGTTCTCTGGAGAACAGATCTTGGCAGGAAGCCAGCGTCTCTTCTTCTTTCTCTTGATCTTCAGGGTGAATTTCCTGATATTGTGTATCAGAAATTTGTGGTGGTTGAAAGATCAAGAGAAAAAAGGGCTAAAAAAGAGCTAATATTTGCTGAGCGCTTCCTCTCTGCCAGGGTTTTAAAGACTTTGAAGGTGCATCACTTTACTTAAACCTCAGAATAACCCGAGGAGATAGTTACAATTATCATCATCATCATCATCTCTGTTTTACAGGTAAGGAAACTGAGGCTCAGAGAGGTTGCATGACTTGTCCAAGGTCACACAGCTGGTGAGTCGCAGACTGGGATTTGAACTCATCATTTGGGCTCGTAAGCTTATGTTCTCCATTACTCACTTCACTGCTTCTGATGTATGTTAACACAAGGACATTCAACCCCTCCTCCCTCCCTCCAGTCTGCCTGCCTTCCTCCCTCCTTCCCCTTCTCTCTCCACCCACCCACCCACCCATCCATTCTCTCCTTCCTGCCTCTACCCGCCAACACTGAGCAGGCCCCCAGCTATGCACTGGGGTTACCCACAGAAACGTACACAGTGGCAGACCGCATAGAGCCTGTATTCTAGCGGGGAGAGACAGACAAAAAGATGTGACGGACAAACTCGATGCAAATTGTACTAAGTGTCATCGAAAACTGAGGAGAGGTCAAGGTGGTGACATTTAGGGGCACACCGGATGATGAGAAGGACCCAGCCACAGGGGAAACATTTTAGGCAAACGCAGGTGAAGGCCTTGAGGTGGGAAGGAGTGTGACTGGCTCCAGGAACGTGTGTCAGAACCGAGCGACTAAGCGAGGGAACGCTAGGAGGCGGGAGGGCACACAACGTGCACAGCACGTGGGACCTCGTGGGACCCAGCGAGCAGGGCACATTTGGTTCCGAGGGAAACTGGAAGTCATCTGAGGTCTCCATCAGAGGAGTGGCTTAATCCAGTTTACATTTTCAAAAGGGTACTCGGGCCAGGACTTAGGGGGTGGGTGGGACTTATCAGGGGCCACCTGTCCCCCTGTGCAGAAAGGAGATGCTTTTGGAGGTGGAAGTTAACAGCTGCCACGTCCATTGGGGTGAACGCGAGTCCCCTCAGAATAGATCTGTGTTGAGGGAAGGGTCCTTGTGGGGGCCCTTTGGGTCTGTGCACGTCTCATGAGTGTGGGTCCCAAGGTCCCATGAGGAGGGTGTAATAGGATCTCTCTGCACCCTCCCAACACCCCTCAGTATTCAGAGCTGGTCAATGGGAAGTGGTTAAATTTGCATTTCAGCCAAGGGGCCTACTGGGAAAAAAAATAATTAAGACAACTCCTCCTTCAACTCATTTCCTCTTTTTTATTTTTATTGTAACAGTTTTATTGAGGTATAATTTACATAGCATAAAATTCAGCCATTGTGAGCATACAATTCAATGATTTCGAGTAAGTTGACTGACTGACTCAAGACTGACTTACGAGATCACCACAATCTTGTTTGGGAACATTTCCAAAAATATCCCTCATACCTGTTTGCCGTGAATTTCATTCCCACTCCTTGCCCTGCTAACCTCCTTTCTGTCTCTACTGCTTTTCCTTTTTCTTTTTCTGGGCATTTCATATAAACTGAATCATACAACATGTGGTCTTTGTGTCTATTTCTTTTACTTAGCATAATGTGTGTGAGGGTCATCCTTGTGGTAGCTTGTATTCCATTCATTTTTACTGCTGCATAATATCCCATTGCATGGATATGCCATTTTTGGTCTATCCATTCATCAGCTGTCGGACCTCTGGATTGTAATCACTTTGTCTTTATTATGAATAACGCTGCTACGAACATTTCCATGCAAATCTTTGTGCAGAGGTGCGTTTTCAAATCTTCTGGGTAGTTACCCAGGAGTGGACTGCTAAGTCTTCTGGTAATTCTATGTTTAACTTATTGAAGAGCTGACAAACTGTTTTCCACAGCGGCTATACCATGTTACGTTACCACCAGCAGTATATGAGAATTCCAATTTCTCCACGTCCTTGCCAACACTTGTTGTTTTCCTTTTTTTTTTTTACTATAGCCATCCTAGTGGTTGTGAAGTGGTATCTCATTGTGGTTTTGCTTTGCATTTCCCTGATGGCAAACAATGTTAAATATCTTTTCATATGCTTGGTGGTCATTTGTATATCTTCTTTGGAGAAATGTTTGTTCAAGTCCTTTGCCCCTTTTTAAATTGGGTTGTGCTGTAGACTGAATGGTTGTGTCCCCCTGTCCCCAAATCATATGTTGAAATCCTAACTGCCAGTGTGATGGTATTAGGAGGTGGGGCCTCTGAGAGGTCATCAGAGCAGAACCTTCATGAATGGGATTGGTGCCCTTATAAAAGAGACCCCAGAGAGATAACTTGCCCCTTCCACTATGTGAGGACACAGTGGACTGTGACCCAGTAAGTGGGTTCTCACCAGACATCGAATCTGCCAGCGCTTTGATCTTATACTCCCCAGTCTCCAGAATTGTGAGAAATAAATTTCCATTGTTTATAAACCACCTAAGTCTGCTGTATTTTGTTATAGCTCTCTGAACGGACTAACACAGTTTGTTTGTCATTTTGTCATTGAGTTGAAAGAGTTCTTTATATATTCTGGATACTAGACACTTATCAGATATATGATTTGCAAATCTTTTCTCTCATTCTGTGGGTCATCTTTTCACTTTCTTGATAGTGTCCTTTGATGCACAAAAGCTTTTAATTTTTATGAAGTACAATTTATCTCTTTTTTCTTTTGTTGCTCATGCTTTTTGTGTCATATCTAAGAATCCATGGCCAAACCTGAGATCATGAAGATTGATTTACCCCTATGTCTTCTTCTAAGAATTTTATTGCTTTAGCTCTTATATTTAGGTCTCTGATCCATTTTATATTAATTTTTGTATATGTGGTGAGATAAGGATCTAAGTTCATGCTTTTGAATGTAGATATCCAGTCGTCCCACCATTTGTTAAAGAGACCATTCTTTCCCCATTGAATTGTCTTGGCATCCTTGTCGAAAATCATTGACCATACATGCATGGACTTATTTACTGACTCTCAATTTCATTCCGTTGATCTCTATTTCTATCCTTATGCCAGTACCACACTGTTTTGATTTCTATAGATTTGTAGCAAGTTTTGAAATTGGGAGTTTG